GTTAAGAGTGGGTGTCTGCCTGGCCAGGAGATACAAACACACAAGTGGGTAGACACTTTCCCAAGGACTGTGATGAGACCTGGAGTTAGACTGGGCTAGAGGATACCTGTGGGCTCCCACTGAAGGAACGCTGCTTACTTAGGTGGTAGAGATGTTGAATCACAGGAGTAGTCAGAGCCCATGAAAGAGCTGGGAACCAAAATGGAAGAGAGGAAGGACTCGGCAGGTGTGAAAGCCTGGGTGAGCATCAAGGACAGCAAGGACAAGGAAGCCTGGTATGTGCAATATCAGGCCAGGCTGGAGTGACAATCAGCACTATCAGCTCAAGGCGATAACCAAATAAGGACAAAGCCTGGGACTTGTCCAGGCCTGCCCCAAAGTGGAAAAACTGTAGCCTTAGGCAACCCCTACTAGCCCTGGCCAATTAGAACATACTAATATGATTGCCACTTGCTTAAGCCAATCATATCTAAGATGACCTTACTGCTTTAGTACTTCCTCTTGGCTGTGCTTAAAAGGAACCTGCTAGCTCCTCTCGGGGTTATCACTAGTTTGCTTTTGTGTGGATGGCTGGCCCCAGCGTGCTGAAAGCTTTCTTGAGATAATAAACGCCCTTGATGATTGCATATGTGGATGGTGGTCTTTTGAGGGACTTCTCCAGGAAGTAGACGATAGGACATGAATGTGGACTTTTAGTGACATTTTACAGAGCCACAAGAAACCAGGTGGAGGGTTGGCGGATGGTCCAAAGTGCTCTGTACTGAATGAACAAAACCATTGCTGGTAACAGGAATAGATGTGGCAAGGGGTGTGGTGGAGCCAACTCCTACAGGTTCACAAGTTGACTGTGTATATCTGTGTTCTGTGCCATCATGTTCACAGCTTGTAATTGGTTTCACTGGGAGTATTGACATCATGGTGATTGATTGGCAGGGGCTGAAAAATCAGGCTTCTGTCTATCAGAGGGCCAATTGGTGAACATGGCCAGGTGTGGCAGCACAGCCTGCAATCCTAGCCCTTATGAGACTGAGGCAGGATAATTACCATGAGTTAGAGGCCAGCCTGTGCGACATAGGTAGTACAAGGCTAGCCTGGGCTACAAAGCAAGACCCTGTCTCAACGTTGTTAAATATTTACTGGTACACCATGGCGGGGGATTAAAACTTGCGTGTATAGGCAGGTGAACAGGTAAGTGCAGAGAAACATGGGCAAGAGCAGGAAATTGAGGGCTAAAAGTATGGAATTTGAAACCCAGGAGTTTGAATGCAAATTCCGACTCGGCCACTTACCAGCTGTGTGACCTGGGCCAAATTATTGAACCTCTCTGGGCCTCAGTTTCCAGCTGATAGTTACTATGAAATTTCCAAAAGTTTTTCATATAAGGCACTTGCAGTAGCAGGGCCCGGCAGGTCATTGAGCACTCCTATGGATGTCCGCCGCTGCACCACGCTCAACCCCCTAATTCTCTCGTCCCATCTGAAGAGCCCTCAGGTTAACCCCCCTTCCCCTGCCCTCGCTCAGATGTCCCTGTCTCTGCTCCAACCCTTCCCCTTCCTGCTCCCCCCGCCTCTTGCCCCTTTCAATGTATTCTCCACACCGCAGTGCATGTTCTGAAAGACCTTCCAAAATATAAATGCAGTCATATCATCCCTCACAATGCCGGAACCCCTCAGCCTAGGCCACCCCCACGTCCGTGCCCCACCTTTCATTCTCCCGGCCTGCTCACACCCCACCAGCCCGTCCCAGCTCTGCACCTCACAGCACCTGCTGTGTGCCACTCTCGGCTCACGCCTGCCTGCCTGTTGTGTGTTAGCCTTTTGTTATCGTCTTTTTCCAGACGGCTTGAGGACAGGTATTTCCCTCACCTTCTCTGAATCATTTAGTGCAGGACTCGGCACTTTGTGGTTTTTCCACGGACATTTCTCATTAACCAATTAAATGTTTGATTGACGCAGCTGGAATGAAAAACAAAGAAAACGGAGTAGGCAAAAAAAAAAAAGCAGAAATTAGTCAGAGAATCCCTTAGTGCTGTGGGTTGCCCATCCAGCTGTCATGGGCAACTGAGACCACTTGGTGACACTCCCAGGCACCGTCTCTGGCATAACCCGGCGGACACCGTCTGCCTGAGCTCTGCGTCTAACCTCCCTGGGTGCCTGACTGAAGGAGGAGCCCTAAGCTAGGCATTGCTTAGGAAATTAGCAGGACACTGGAGGGTTAAAAGCCCTGTTGTTTTTTCATGAAGGGTCGAGAAAGAGAGTTCTTTCCTGCCTATACTGTGCTTAGCTTCCGGTGCCTTCCTGTTATCATAATGATTCTTCCTTAGTGGCGGAAGGCTTTCCAGAGTGGGGCAACATGTCACCCTCGGCCACACTTTAGGAGCCTGCTAACTGTGCCACAGGCTGTGGGTTGCATCAGCTTATTCGTGCTCTGTGGGGTGGATTCTGGGGTAATGACTGGCTGGGGTGACATCTACTCCTTCGGAATCATGTTTGAGAGAAGAGCAGAGGAATTATATTCTGAGTGCTTTTGGCTGGAGCTTCAGGCCTGGGTCCTTAGTTCATCGGCCCACAGCACTAGGCAGGAGGCTGGATGCTGGGAGAGCCATGTAGGGGACACCTCGTGTTCAAGAGCCTGGGGTTATCGCCAGCTGCACCCCGATGTCCTCGCCACCTTCGTCCTCCTGTGCCATTTCCGGATATACACATTGCACTACCTCTACCTGGTGGACAACGTCACATGTGATGAAGGAATGATTCAGGGGAGAAGACTGGACTCTAGATGGAGCATCCCTTGTCCTCAAAGCCCACACGGGATTGTCTCCTCCCTCCTGAAGGAAAAGAGAGAGGAAGGTACAGGGAAGTCACGGTGCTTTTTGGAGAAGGTTGGCTTTTATCAGATGGCTCACCAAACTGTGGAAGCTCTCATGTTCCTGTTGGCCAGGCACAGGTACCTCATGGGACACTGCTTCCATCCACACTGAAGTCAGCCATGGACTTGTGCAAGTAGACTCCTACCAGCTCCCTCAAAGTACTAGCGAGGCGAATGAAAAGTAGGGCTAAATGAAACTAAGGGGCTTGGAGAGGTGGCTCAGTGGTTAAGAGCCCATGTTGTTCTTCCACCGGACCCAAGTTCAGTTCCCAGCACCCAGGTCAGGTGGCCCACAACTGACTATAAAGCCAGCTCCAGGGAGATTCGGCACCTCTGGCCTCTGAAGGCACAGGAGCTTGTGTGTGTGCTTATAGATGCCCCCAACACATAAAATACAATAACTAGAAACTTAGAAAGAAACTGGAGAGCTATTGTAGCTATTATTTCTCTATTGGAGAAGAGGGGTGTGACCTAGAGGCCTTTGGATGTGGCTGCCTCTGCTTCTTGGCCTGGCTTTGTCTCCCAGGCCCGTAACTATCTGTTACTTTGGGAATATCACAAGACCCCCAGAGTATGACAGAAGACAGGAGTGAGAATCTTTTCCTTTGCATCTCAATGAGGAACCCAGAAGCCCCAAACACCCGCCCAGAACAGATGCCGATCCACAGTGACTTTCTTACTTGGGAATTGAGCTGGAAGTGAAGCCAGTCACGGGACGGGCCTGTGGGTCCTCCCTGCCCCTCTATACCCTGAAGGAGGCTAAGCCACATTGGCATAGCATCCCTGCCTCTCTCCCCTTCCACGGAGCTCTAGAAGTATACATTTTGGAAGTGCAGATGCCCATGCTTGTGGGACTAACTTTCGTACAGAATTTGATATAGCAGGTATGGGGAAGCCACTCATCATCAAAGCCTTGCAACCCTCTGGGTATTATGGGTACCCAAACTCATTTCAATCCTGTGCCTGGACATTCCCTGGAGTCTCTCTTATGGGAGAAGGACAATGGGTAAAGACAATGGGTAATGTCCAAATGATTAATCATCTCTTAGGTGCTAACTGAGATCCCTGCATTTTTTGTTAATGTGTTTATTTAAAAACAGTTTGTAAAAGTAAGTGTCTTAGGACAGTTTCAGCTGGAGTCGGAAAAACCAGCAGGGGATACTAACTTGCTTTATCGGGTCCCCCCCCCCAACTTTAAGACAACCAAGGGAGCAGGACAAAGGAAATGCATGGCTTTTAGTGATGCGGCCAGCATGGCCAGGGTGAGCCGTGCAGGATGAGCCGTGCAGGATGAGCCGTGCAGGATGAGCCGTGCAGGTTAGCCTTCATGCTGACCATGCTCCGCAGCACTAGCCGCTGGTTTCCCATGTGAAGGAGAGGACGAGGGACAATGGGGTTGGTTACCAGACCCGTGGGCAATATGGCGGAGACGGAGTAGCTTGGGAGGGATCTAAAAGTGAGCAGCGCTTCATGAGCTGCTCTGGGTTGACCCTGGATCGGCTCTTGTTCTTGAGAAGACAGGAGACCTGTGCTACCCAGGGCTAAGGCACTCCTGGAATAGAAACCATTCTGGGTCGCTTGAGCTCTTCAAACAGTGCTTAATGCGGCTCCTTTGTATTTTGCCGAGCGCTAAAACCCTGATTTGCCAATTTGTGTATCTTTGTGCTGTCGACAGTTTCCTACAACACACCAAATGTGTCGGGGACTGTAGATAAAAGAAACACAGATAACAGGGGTCATGCTGTCCCCGCTCTTGCTTGTCAAGGGTAGGCGAACTTCAATGGCACACTGGCTCCTGCCTGTGGGGATTCCCAGTCCCATGTGAGCCCCAAAGTCAATGCAATTTCAGATAATCCTGAGATGGGACACGAAACAAACACACAAAGAGAGACAAAAGCCCCTGCCACCAGATGTTAGGGTAGATAGTTCTGGATAATTAAATAGCCCTTCCTTCTACATGCATGCATAACCCTTGCCCCCTGTACTTTTTCACACACATCTCTATTATTTTTCATTTGTGTAGTGATGAAAAAAGAAATCCATGGGAAGCCCCTCCCTGCCCCCCCCACCCCAATAACCACATTTTCGTCATCTGTTATCTGACTATTGTGTGTCTTGCTCTTTGTGTTCAGGGAACCGAGGAAGCCCGAGATTTAGACTCACTTTCACGGGTCCCTGTGTTGACAAGACCAGCACTGGGGGAATACGGAAGGATGCTGGCTTGTTTGTCCAGGCAAGCTGACCGAGCAGTTCACCAGACATCTGCAAACACAGGCCGGAATTCCAGCTTTGCACTAAGACTCAGCATGAACAAAGCCCAAGTTTCATTTCTTGGACTGTAGGAGTGCTACAATTCATCCTTTAAGTGGCCATTCATTTTTATGTTCAGTAAGCACTTTCACTGCAAAGTGAGACGTCCTTTAAATGACATATGGTGAGTAGTGAAGTGATTCTGGACATGGCTTGGATGCCACAGTCTCACTTGTCAAAATGACTTTCTGGGTGGAACATCTTAGACACAGAATTAGATGTGTAGGGCTACAGGTGTGTGTGTGTGTGTGTGTGTGTGTGTGTGTGTGTGTGTGTGTGTGTTTGCATTTCTTCCCTATTCTTTATAAGATTTCCTGACCTAAGCCACAGATGTCAACCTCACCACCTACATGGCAGCTACTGGGAGCTCTGGTATTCTCACAGTGGGGATTTAGAGCTATGAAATCCTGGGAGTCACTGCTTTGGGCTTATGCTTTTCTGAGTTTTTGTTTGTTTGTAACAAGGCATCACTATGTAGCCTAGGCTAGCCTTAAACTTTCAGTCTTCCTTTCTCTGCCTGCCCAGTTCTGGGATTATAAGTGTGTGCCACCGTGCCTGCCTGGGTGGCTTATTAAAGTTCCAAATGGAGTCATTGCCTTCTGTCCAGACTTGAGTAATCACAGGCATGTGTAAGGGGTGGTGGGATCTGTAGACCCAAAGTGGAAGAAATTCTGCAGGACACTGCCTTGCTAGATCTCAAGTGGCTGGACCAAGGAGAGGTTGATGCATCTCCACTACTAAGAAACAAGCATTGCGAACCGTGAGATGTCCTGTCCAATAGTGTGGGGTGGGTCACGTTGCCTTTAGATGTCAACACTGAAGATACAGTTGCATCCTTGTTCCTCTCAACCGGAGCATATTAGGAAGAGCACAGCGTGGAAACAGAAGACCCAGATTTGAACCTCGGCTCTATCACTCACCTGATATGGGTTTGGAGCAAGACAACTTTAAAGGGACTTGAGCTGCTTTATGTTAGTCAGCTTTTTACGGCTATAGCAAAACACCTGAAACAATGAAAAGGTGAGAGGGTTGAACTTAACTGTGCTTTCAGAACTTCTCATCCTCAGTCGCCTGACTCTATTGTTCCTGGGCTGTGGTGAAGCAAGGCACCATGGTGGAACCAAGCTACTCACTTTATGGCCACCAGGATCACAGGAGAGGCAGCTTGTATGTGAAGAGATCCAAAGACAAGATAAACTGTTTCAGGAGCTACTCTCAATGACCCACTTTGTTTAACCAAGTCTTCCCCTCCCCCACAGCTCATTCAATTGTGAACTCTTCAATGAATTAAAATCCACTGATGAGTTTAGTGCCATATGATCCAGTCACCTCCCAAGGACTCTCTTCTGAACATTGAGACAATGGGATCAAGCATTTAATACTGGAGTCTTAGAGACACTTCCTATCCAAACCATAATGCCATCCACGTCAATGAATGTGAAAGTACTCTGTAAGCTTAAAGCGCTAAACAAATACACATATTGAGGAGGCTAGCTTTGCACGTCACCTGATTGACCCATGAGATATAAAGTAGTAAAGTCATAGTAATAGACATATCACCATCGATGCGACACCCATACTATACTGCTCTTTTCCTTAAAACAAAACGAAGTAAAAAACCAAATGAACAAAGGCTCCCCACAGTCAAAGGACAATGGTTCCTTCTGCTTCTTTCTAGAAAGGGAGTCTGAGGAATTAGCTCCTTCTCTGTGAGAAAGGATGAGGATGCTCTTCACGTTTTTCTTTTTCTTTTTGGTTTGTTGAGACAGGGTTTCTCTGTGTAGTTTTGGTGCCTGTCCTGGAGCTCACTCTGTAGACCATGCTGGCCTCAAACTCATAGAGATCTGTTTGTCTCTGCCTCCCAAGTGCTGGGATTAAAGGCATGTGTCACTGCCACCTGGCTTCATTTTTTTTTTTCAAAAGGTGGCTCTGTCCCATGGAGTCAGTGAAGGTCCTCACTGGGCACAACATTCCCAGCCTTTCTCACTTGGGGGCACAGGACAATTGACACTCAGGAGGGTACCACTAATTCAGCTGTGTAAGAATATAAGCGAGGACGGACATATCTATTCTCATGTCAGACATTTCAAATCTTTGGCAGCTCCGATCACTAATAAATATTAAGTTATTTGTGATGCAGCTCACAAGCAGTGATGGTTTACCTGAGAATCAAGCTTGAGAATGCGTCTCTTCATCTGTGAATGGCAATGGGGATTTGTCTAATGCATTTGGGTACTTCTGATGCCTGGCACATGATAGACATTTATTGTTGACTTGATTGGCAGCTGTAACCAGGAAAGGAGGAACCTCCTGGCTCCCCACAGATAGGTTTGGGACCACTGCAAATCTCAGGGGTTACTTAGTCGTCTCCCTGCTAGCATCATTACGGTCACATGACAGAGATTGTGACCTGGACTGTGTGGAGGAGGTCATTGCTAGGGTGAGCCCGCACCTCCACACTCTGCACGAGTGACAGTTTTAGGTGGCAGAGTTAGTTCTCACCTTCTTTCACATCTCTCTTTGAAGAGAGTGGCCTTCTGCCAGAAGTAGTGCCTGAGGTTTCAGCTTGATGAGGATGGAAGAACGGAGTGGAGGTGATCTGGTTCAGGGAACAAGTTTGATGAGCCCACGTCAACTTTTAAGCACACAGCAAAGCATCGCTCCTGAGTGCTGTTCTAAAGATGTTACAGGGGCGTGACTTTTATCCAGGTCATGTGAATGGACCTGCAGATTTGAGTACTGGGGATGTGGAGGCCAAAGCTGGGGTGCATTTTCTCTTCTAGGCTGGGAAGGCCTTGCCAAGGCAGCAGGCTGAGCTGCCCTCTGTAGCGGTAACACCCGCGCTACCACCACCCGTCCACCATGTCCGAGGGAGGGGCTGTGGATCAAAAAACAGAGATAAGAGACAGCGGGTCATTCGCCTCAGCAGAATGCCGAAATGCCGTTTATTGAAAGAGGGAGGAAACCTTAAATGCAGGCTTACAGCACAATGGGAGAACCCCTGAGGGCAGAAGTTCACTACCGATGTTCTGCAATCTTGCATCTAAGCTGTTAACGCCCAATATGGAGGATACACAGACAAGGAACTTCCCTTAAGCATTCAGGAGGGTGGAAACCGGCAGGGAATTAGCATAGGGAGGACATCAAGGTCAAGGTCAGCAAGCAAAGCAACAGCTACCCAAAATGGGGGCCAGGGCCCTACAGCCCACCCCTGCTGGGGGCAGTCTGGAGACCGGCAGCCCACAAGAGCTAGCTATAGCACACAAGCATGAGGGGGACTCTGTTGGATAATTCGTCACAAGTGTGCTCATAGCTCACCCTTCATGTGTGGAGATTCAAAGATACAAACAGTGGATGTTCTACCTGTAGCTCGGAAAAAAGCAAGTCTGAGGGCTTGACAGAAGCCCGTGAAAGCCAGCCGTTGCTCTGAGGTGAGGTAGCATGGGCTCTTCCAGCCTTACAGGTGAATGCTTGCCCGAGTCTGAAAACCTCTGCCCAGCTTGGTATCTGTTATAAAACTGATCAGGTTAGAAAACACAGAGGTTCCCTCCATCTCTTGAAAGAAGGGAGATGCAGAGAACAAATGGGACAGAAGAGGACCAGAAGACACACACAGACGAGGGCACAGGGAAAGTCCAGTCATTTGCTGCTTGGATGACTGAGCTGCCGCTTAGGGTGAGCTTTGAGTGGGCCAGACGTGGGTTTCAGCTATGGGTCAGCTCTGGACTACACTCTATGGGACGAGAGTGAACCATCGGCCCTTGAGTTTCAGTTCCGACGACTCAGGAAGAAGTAAGGGAAGGCTGTAGTTCTGGGTCCTGTGCCTCACATGGGTAAGTTTGTTATTTTGACCCTGTTCTTACATTGTTGTGATGGTCATTGCTGTGGTGAGCATTGCCACATCACACATGGCACACACTAGCCAGAAAGCACACACATACGCACACACATGACCTCATCCATTTCATATGTTCATAAACTGTGGGTCAGGAGTTCTGAAGCAGCAGAGAAAAACTGGCTTGTTACTCTTTCATGTTTGAGGCGTCAGCTGGGAAGGTTCAGAATTTAGGCTGTCTTGCTGGTTGGGACCTGAAATTATCTGGAGACTCATTCACTCGTACTTCCAGCCTGAAAGACACGTGAGTGTTGGAACTGTCGGTTAAAGAACCTACTTAGGCCTCTTTATGTGGCTTCCCCCTAACATGGCGGTCCCAGAGAAGTGAGACTTCCAACATGACATCTGGCTTCTTCCACAGTGAGTATCCTAAGAGAAATGGGGGACAATGAGTCACCTTTGTGACCTAGCTTCGGAGGTTTGCTGTGTTCCACTGGCTACACGTTGAGTCCCTAAGCTTGGCACATGTGGGTGGAAGGAGCATTAAAGAATACGTAGACATGTTTTGAAGCCACCAGAGTGGCAGTGGAAAGCTGTGATGCTTATCTAGTCCCCAGAATGCTTTTGAGGCGTGAATAGGACAAGAAAAACAAACAAACAAACAAACAAACAAACAAACAAACCCTATTTTGTCGATGCAGAGCCAGGCTTGGAAAGGTCTGCCATTCCAGTCCGAGCTGCAAGGTGGAGAGTGCCCAAGTGATGTCCTCACTGGTCCCTTCCAGCTCTGCAGGGTGGTGGTTTTCCACTCTCTGCAGAAAGAGGAGGCTCTCCAAGGAGTTTAACCGGAATCCTACTTAAACTATTTCAACAACTCCTGGGACTTCCTGGGGCAAATGGAATTGCTTCCACTTAGCCCGCACCTGGATTCTGAAGTCAGCTAATTTTAGACTCCTTGGTCCAATGCCAAATATCAAAGGAGAGTTGAAAGAATAATCTTTGCTCAATTAGAGTACAAATTCCTTCAACTGAGACCGATTCTGGTGCCTTGTTGTGCTAAGATAAGAAAACCCCCATTTATCACGTACCTTTAAGCGGAGGCATTTCAACTAGAACAAGAAAGGGTGGGCAGGATCAAGAGCTTTAAGCGAATTACTCACTGAGAAGGTAAGTAGCAAGCATGATGGGTTGTGAGGGTGCAAAGCTGTGGAAATTGTGTAGCTCCAAGGTGATTAGCATAACACTTCCGTTCCTTTCCTGAGCGAAAGTCAGGCATCTCTAATTTGAAATTAATTTGGGAGTGATGTGAGGGTGGGTAATTTCCTAACAAAAATCTCCTGTGAAAATTTATTTCTTAATTTCAATTTTTGTTAATGGGAGTTTCTAGAAGTTGGATTTTCTCCAAGTTGAACCAACTTGTATCACAAAATTTCCAAATAATAGTAAATTATTTTAGTTTTTTTTTTGCCTTCTGTCTGTTGAAATATCCACTTTGAATATTGCATTAATAGAATGTTTCCTTTTATTTTATGATTTATATTTTTACAAATACAGTGTCATTAAGGGAAGGGTAATAAGAACTATGAAGAAGCATTGGCCAAAACTTAAAAGCAAATATATCCCTTTCTAGTGGGGATCATAGTGGGAGATCAGTACAGACTTACCACACTCAAGCCAGCAAGATGGCTTCTTGAGTAAAGGCACTTGCTGCCGAGCCTGGTAACAGGAGTTCAATCCCTGAGCTGCACATGGTGGAAAGAGAGAACTGATTCCCACAAGTCATCCTTTGACCTCCACAAGCATGCATGGTGTGTGCCCCCTACACACAAAATAAATGTAATATATATATACATACACATATATGCACACATACTCATTTCTTTTGTTGAAGGACTCAGAATATTTTCTAGGCATGCACAATGCTTTGTAGTTAACATGAATTATCTTATAATTCTAAACAATGATAATTTGAGCATTTTAAGAAGAAAAATTGAACATGTGGGTATCCATTCAGACGTTGACCTGGCATCTTCCTATGTCTAGCACTTCCTTGAATTTTGTGGGTGATAAAGGAGACATATGAAAGTTTCTGTCTTTTCCCCCACAGTCTAGCTATGGGCTAAGATAGGTGCATAAGACACTGTAACAGCTAGTTTCAGTCACAACAATATCATGTCTATCATGTCAAGCAAGAATGTAGTTCCAGACCATGTGATACTGAGTCATCATGAGTGTTCTGTAAGATCATTGCAGCTGGTTCCCACACAGCTGTGCCCCTAATATAATTTATAGCAACAATCCATCTTTCCTATGGGTTGGTTGTCTTTCTCTCCTCTATATCCCATAGAACTGTTCTGATAAAGGATATCAACTACACAGAACAGCTCACCACACAGGATATTGTCACATTACTATCTAGCAGCTTATCTGACCATCAAAACAAGTACATGTTTGTTTTTCTTTGGAAAATAACTGCCACTTATTATGGGTCAAGAGGTTGTTACCAGGAAGTGAAGATTATTGATGGCTGAGGGAGGGATCATCAAAGCCTCCTGTTACAGGAGCCACAGGAAACCAGTACCAACACACACACACACACACACACACACACATACACACACACACACACACTAACATGGGGAAAAGGGAACCCTAGAGAAAAGATGTAGAAGGAAGAACACACATGGTCAACATGAAGTGTAAAGCTGGATGAAGAGTTAAGCAGGGAGCA